AGGCAGGGCAATCGCCACAAGTGCAGGCTTTGACTCCCATTTCAGTGATCATAGCATTTCAGTGTGCTTTTGGTTTCTTCCTGGCTGGGCTGTCATTACGTACGCTGGTGTCTGCACCTCCGTGCTGTGTTAGTCACAGGGCCCTCCAGTGGGCTGTGCTCTCAGCAGTGAGCTTTTCCTGTGCTTTTTGGAGAACAGAGACACTTTAATCTTTAATGTGTGCCCTTATTAGTGGAGTTCCCACAAATTCTCCTTTGGGTTGCGAACTTCCCAAATCATCTGAAATTCCTGATCACTTGAAATAGTTATTTTCCCAACTTGGTACCAGATTAGATAACTACTGCTCAGTGTTGAAGCTCAGAATGAAACCCACCTTGTCAAGTCCTGAGCCTAGGCACCAGTTTCTGGCAGGAAAGAGAGCAAGCACTTGTGGGAGCGTCCACTAAATCCTCTGCTTTTAAGTTAGGGGTTCTCTTGTGTTGGTTTGGCGGGCAGAGAGCTTACAGGAGCAGAGCTTGTTTTGTTTTGTGGTTTCTATTGCCTCTACTAGTCTGGTGTGACTGCAACAAAGTGCTCTTTTCTCATTCTTGTTACTTTGTGGTTTTTATTTTTTGCTTATTTGTTTGGCTCTTTTCATTTTTGAGACAGGGTCTTGCACTGTAGTTCATGCGGGCCTTGAATTCACTGTGTAGCCCAGGCTGGCCTCAAATTCATGGGGATCCTCCTGTCTCGGCCTCCAAAGAGATGGGATTACAGACATGTGCCACCCATACCTGGCTTTGTATTTTTATTTTTGTTTTTAAGGGAGTCTTGCTATATTCAAAGCAATCCTCAAACTTGTAGTCCTCCAGCCTCAGCTTCTGAGGCAACTGAGATTATATGAAGTGCTTTTAATTAGAGAGTAAATACTAAAATCTGTTTCTCTGTACTTGTTGTGATTTAAACTTTTCCAGGGAACAAACAGGATTTGGTGAGCTTAGAAACACTTGTATAGTTAGAGGAACAGCAAAACAGATTTGTCCCCAAATGGCTCCTGTGTAATTATGTTTCATCATAATTATTCTCAAAATAAAAGTTCTGTCTGAGGCTGGGAATTTAGCTCAGCGGTTCGGTGACCTGCCTTGCAAGCACAAGGACCCGAGTTCAATCCCCGGTACCAAAAAAAGTTCTGTCTGTGTTGAAAATAATAGGATTTTTGAAGTAAATGTTTTAAGTATATCTTATTTTTAAGGAAATTTTTATTTTGCCAGTCATAGAACTGATATTTACATTGTAAAAGTCACAGAATACAAAAAGGTACAAAATAATATAGTTCTCTTAAAATTCTGTGAAGATTTAGTAGCCAGATTCTTAAATGTGTAAGCGTGAAGCTCACTCACAAAAACAGCTTTATGTATGGAGGAGCCCACCAGGGCAGTGCCTTATGGCCTTGTACTCTCCTGAAGTGTCTCTCATCACCAGTAGAGAGCAGTCTTTGCCACTTTCCTGTTCAGTCCACTGGATGTGCCGTTTCTTTGACTGTTGGCACGTTACAGATATTTAGGTCTTTTCCAAATTTCCTTACCAGTTTTGGTATATCACTATGTGTGCAACTTGAACATTTTACCAAATTTCATCTTAAAATTAAAATTTCTAGTTCAAATAAGAACACTTAAATTTTTTGTATGTATGCCAGCATGCTTTAAATATTTTTAAAACAACTTCTTTTTTTTTTTTTTTTTTTTAAGTACCAGGGATCAAACTCGGGTCCCTGCACTTGCAAAGCACTGAGCTAAATCCCTGGCCCTTATTAAAACTTTAATAGCATGGAGCTAAGTGTTATGGCACAGGCCTGTAAACTCAGCGCTCAGGAGGCAGAGGCAGGAGGATTACAGTGACTTCAAGGCAAGCCTGGGCTACGTAGCGAGATCCTGTCTCAAACAAAAAAAATAATAGCATGGTATCATGAACTTTCATACCGCTTTACTTTGCACTTTTTTTCCCCAGCCTTTTGCTGCTGCAGTTGGTTGGATTTTCTACACTTCATTAAAATTTGAACTTTCCATATAATAATTATGGTTTTTTAAGACCATTCGGCGTCTATACTCTACATAATAATATTTATCTGACGTTTGTTGGGTTCTTTTATTATTATTTTTAAGACTACTAAGAGTGCCCTAAACAGAAGAGACTTGAGTTTTATGTAGCATATGCCATGAGAAATATCAGCTTTTCTATGATAGCTAGAGTTTGCTGAGATGAAAGCTGCTGGACTTTTTCTCCCAGAGGTGTGGACAGCTTAAGAGTGGACAAAATGTGCAGTTTCATCTGAGACGCCCTGTGACACCCAGCCCTGCGGCAGCAGCCACAAACACAGCCCTTTTCCTCCCCTTTGCTCTTCTGCCCTGCCCTCGCTGGGCTTCTGGTGTCACCTGCTCCTCAAACTACCTTGTTCCATCTCTTGTCCCTTGGAATTTGGTGTCAGGGTCCCTAAGGTCTCCCCAAGGTCATTATCCCTAGATCTCCCTTATTTGTAACCCCTGGTGACTTAACGTTTTGAGAACCATTTGTAATTCTTTGCTGATATTTTTGTTTTAGATGCTATGGAGAAATGATAGTCCTTGAGCTAAATTACTGGTTTATCAGAACAGGACTTCTTAGTACTAATGAAACTTAATTTAACAATTCCTTTGTTAATATCTAATTACCAAGCTAATTATATTATTATTCATTTAAAGGAACCTTAGGTGTTAAAAATTTGATCTACCCCTGTGCTTAATGTTTAGCTTATCTTTTTAAAAATCACATTCAGTTATTTCTTTTTTTTTTTTTTTTGAGATAGTGTCTCAGTATGTAGTTGACACTGACCTGGAACTCACTATCTAGCCCAGGCTGGTTCTGAACTCACAGCAATCCTCCTGCCTCAGCCTCCCAAGTGCTGTGATTACAGGCATACGCCACCACACCCAGCCATATATTCAGTTATTTCTTTGCATTATTATAGCAAATACAAGAACCCAGTCTTTAGCCAACCTAAAACATGCAGCACTCTTTAGTTTCTTGCAGACCCAAAGTTGACCCTTTGTGCCTGTGATATGCTACTTTAAATTTGTTAGTTTTTATTTTCACAGCAGTCATTCCGGAAGCTCTTTGTGATCTGTCAGCATGTGAGGCTTTTGGGAAATGTTGCTCTAGAAACTGAATAAATCTCTGAAAATTAACACTCTAAATCAAAGGTCTGTCTCCTCGAGGAGAAAAACAAAAACTCTGAGGCCTTACAAAGTTGACCATAACTTGGTTGACTATAGAAAGACTGCTAGTGAAAAGCTGTATAGAGAAGAAAGGTTGTAGAACTACACCTGAGTAAACATCAGAGCTGTTCCCTTCCCCTAGACCTTGCTGCTGCTGCCTCACTGAGTTACTGTGGTTCGGAGAGCACACAGTCTTAACGGGGCTGCCCAGGTGCGCATCTCCAGAGCTACAGAATAAGTTTGCTGGTTTATTCCTCTTAGACCTGAACAGATTGCTAGCAAGCACCCTTATCCTGCTCTCCTATCTTGACTAAAAGTCTGTTCACAAGCTCCTTAAAAACAAAAGACTACTAAACTCCGAGAAGCACAGGTCTTTAACTATTTAATCCATGTGTTTGGAGTGGTGGTCATGTGTGCCACATCCCACTCCTGGTGAGTCAGGGTTTGGGATGAGAACGCAGGCTGTTTAACTGGAGGATCTTGATTGGTTTTCTCTGTAATGGGGATTGAAGCCAGGGCTACTTTTTATTTTTTCATGTTGAAACAAAGGTCTAAATTCTCCAGGTGAGATTTGAACTCATGGTCCTCCTGCATCAGCCTTCCTTAGTGCTGGGATTACTGGTGTGTGCCGCCACAACCAGCTTGGAAGATCTTTATACATTATTTTGTTTTTGTAAGGTAGACTTTTACTTTATTAGGTGACAATTATAATTTCTATTTTGATAAAATAAAAAACAAGACAGAATATTCATCCTCCTGGCTTGCAAAGTGACATAGGAAGTCTGTGGAGAGGCTACTGTAGATGTTTAAACTTTCTAACGGTACGTTCTAATGTGTCTGGGACCCATCGTAACACAAGAAAGCAGCTTATTCTATTAAAGGGTTGTATATACGCAAAACACCACTTTACTATAAAAAATATAGTGCCAACCTTTGGAGTATGCTTTTCTGTGTGTGTGAGACACTTAACAAGTGCTTTAAATATCTACAATTGCAAAATTTTTTTTTAATTTCAGAAACTAAAAGCATTTTTCATGAATTAGTCTCAATATTTTTGGTGATACAACATGTCTAGAATTTACTTAAGGATGCTTACAGTCTCTATCCTATTTAATCTAAACATTTACTTATTTCCTGTAGAAATATTTAATATGCTTGGTTATAGTGTGCTATCTTAGTCAGATCCTGGTTCTGTATATTGCAAAAACATCTGGCTTTATTGAATTTTAAGTGATGTATCTTGTATAATTTTAAAGCAGTATGCTTTCTTTTTGTATAGGGGAGGGGCAGTGGGGAGGAGTTGGAAAATGTTTAGTTTTTTTTGTTGTTGTTATTCTAAGAAAAGCCCCTCATTCACATCATGATATTTGTCCTGGGTCTAAAAAGTATTGCACTTATTTAACACCTTTACTACAGTGATCAAAATAAATGTGGGATGACCTTAATGTTGTAATGTTGTGCATGGTTAGAATACAAAGAGTCAGATTTGGTTTCAGAAGGAAAAGAGACCTCTGTGCTACTCTGTATGGGTTACGGGTCTCTGTCTCTTTGTCAGCAGCGTTGGACAGTGAACCTTAGCTGTGAGACTCCTTCATTGGCCCTGGCTGATGTCTGCCTAGGAGGTTGTATGTGCTGGTCTCAGCGTCACACTAGAATCCTGGGAACCTCCCTTTCAGTTGTCCTTTTGGAAAGCTTATTTTTAACAGCACTTTTCTTTCTTGGCTTGCATGACATTTTCTTTCTTTTCCTTTCTTTTTGCCGTTTGCAAAGACTCTTGGGAGGATTTGACAGATTTGGTGGAGCAAATGCGCGATGATCCCGAAGGTGCGTGCCACCCCAACACCATTCAGCTTTGTTTTCTTTTTCTTTCCTTTTAAATTCTCTAATCACCATTTAATTGTTTTGCATAAGAAGGTGTATCAGATTGAGGTTTTATTTCCCATGGCAGTAAATGAGAAATCTTTATGCTGATGGTTCCTACAAGTAAAGTACATTAATGTGTATTTGCACTGCTCCTTTAGGGTATTTGTTAAATAACGTATTTAAAAGAGACATTATTTCAAGAGTACGTTGACTTTCTCTATGGCTTATTTTATATATGTATATATATGGGAGGGTACAATTTCGCAGCATCCAAATGCAGATCCTAGGAATCTGAAGGGTTTGGTATGGAGTGTTGCTCTGATTGTAGATTTACGTAGCATTAAACTCTTCCAGCTAGGATTATAAGGAGTGCACCACTACCCACAGCAAATTCTTCTGCAACTATGGCACCTCACTTTAGGCCTCTCAGCGTGATTTGCACTTATAATTTACACTAAAAACAAAAACTGAATCTCTGCTCCATTTCCTGTGTCATTCTGTATCCTCTCACCACCAAGGCAGCTGGTGCCCAAACTTTGATGTGTGCTCCCCTGCACTTAGGTCCACTGCTCTACCCAAACAGGCCTTCCCCTGTCCCTCTTGAGCCCCATCTCCTCTCCCACTCTCTTCCTGAGCTTTCTCACCAGCCAGTCCCCTGCCCTGTGCTGCCTGCCCGCGACAGGAGTTCCATGGAGAACTCTGACAGCTTTGCTGTATTCAGTTACCTGTATATTTGTCCCCCTAGTTAAAGTGTAAACCCCTTGAGAGCAGAGCTTGCCTTAAGCCTGATACCCTCGTTGGACCTGGTATGGTACAGTACTATCTTCAGTACGTCTGGTCCCAACAAACACAACCAAGGCAATTTTCTCTCTAGGATGCCCAACTGTGTCTTCTTTAGTACTTTGCTTTAAATGAGTAAATTTTAATCCTGAGTTTCATTTCTTTTCTTGTGGTCAAGCTATTATTTATACTACCTTTTTTTCTGCTAGTGAATAGCGCTCACTGTTACATAAGCTGCTGTTGTCATTATCATTAAACTCCCAGGCACCATCAGGCTTAAGACTAATTTCTGTGATAGCCTAAATACTAAAGAAAAATCCTACGTAAAATGTATGCCCTTCCTTCTGGAGTAGTCGCACACATCTTAGTCTCTGCCACTAAAGAGGCTGACTCAAAAGAGTTCTTAGTCTTGTCACAAGTTTGAAATCAGCCTGGGCAACACAGGGAGACCCATCTTCCCCATGACGCCACACAGGCAAAATTCCATTTCTTTAACACATACTACAAATACCAGAAGTAAGCCTGCTTTAAGAGTCAGCCTCCTCTTTTCTTTTAGTTTTGGTGGAATTTTTGTAGAAGGTTACTATAGGTGAAACCCAAAAGGGAACCCAAATGAACTCACCAGTGTAGTGCATATAATACCCAGAATAGCCACATGTGGTGGCGCACACCTGTAATCCCAGCACTCAGGAGGCTGAGGCAAGAGCATCACTGCAAGTTCGAGGCCAGCCTGGGCTATGCAGTGAGTTTATGGCCAGCCAGAACTACAAAGCCAAGACCCTGTCTCAAAAACAGGAAAAAAAAAAAAAGAAGAAGAAGAAGATGTGAACTATATCCAGTGCCTTGATAGTCTTAGTAAATTACCAGTGAGGTACTACTTGAAAATGTTGCTAAAGGTCCTATTTTACAAAAGCCTTTTTGAGATGCAGTTTTTAATTCAGAGGAGAAAGGAAATGCTTTATTTGTTAACTTTAGTGAATCATTGCATTTTTGTCTTATATCATTTTTTGCTTCTCATGTCTCATAGACTTAACCAGAGTCGTGTGAAATTGTAGCAGTTTTCTGTATAACATAATTTAAATATGTTGGAAATGAATATTAGTGATAAAACCAATTCAGTTGCACATACCACAATTCATCACACATACCACAGGAAAGATTCCTAGAAAGGTAGTAATGTATACAAGTACAGATCTTTCCAAGAGATCTTCACTGCTAGGCTGTTTCAATGTTGTTATAAATGAGCCATAGCACTTGGCTTCTCTTTTTTGTTTGTTTGTTTGTTTTTTTATTTGTTTGTTTTGGTTTTGTTTTTTTTTGAGACAGGGTCTCACTATGTAGTTATGTAGTTGATCTGGAACTCACTATGTAGCACATGCTGGTCTCGAACTCACAGCGATCCTCCTGCCTCAGCCTCCCGAGTGCTGGGATTACAGGTGTGCACCACCACGTCCAGCTTTTTCTTACCCCCCTTCTTAAGCCAGAGCCTTGTTATATTGCTTAGGCTGGCCTCAAACTCAGGATCTTCCTGCCTCAGCCTCCCCAGTAGCTGGGACTACAGTCATGTGCTATTACACTGAGCAGAAATTTGGCTTTTTAATACATGAAGTTTTCATTCCGGCTTTTGACCTCTTAAAAATACTCTTTCTTTCTTTCTTTCCTTTTTTTTTTTTTTTTTTTTTTTTTTTTTTTTTTGGTACCAGGGATTGAACTCAGGTCTTTGCGCTTGCAAGGCAGGCCACCGAACCGCTGAGCTAAATCCCCGGCCCTTAAAAATTACTTCTTAACAATAACAAACTAGTAGATCTGAACGAGTAGTTGGCTTGTTCTTGATTTGGCTTTTACTGTGGATTGAACCCATGATCTCACACATACCCAGCATGTGCTTTACCACCAAGCTACACCCTCAGCTTCTGTCTGTTTTTTAAAATCTTAGGCTGAAGCTTTTACTGGTGAGTTGTTACTGCAGTGATGCTTGCCTTACATTCAGTGTGCCTCTGACTGTGACTGACAGAAGACAAAGAACCTGCTGAGGGCAGGATTGCATTCTGCATGCAATATAGACAGATTGTCCTGCATCTCACACCATTATATTCCAGTAATCTCTGCCCAAATGTTTTGAAATACACTAAGAATATTTTGAACATTAAATAATAAAAAAGCATTTAACTCTGGGTTTCTCTGTAAATACCGAATTCCTGTCTGCACTCATCACAAGCCTTTTAGACAGGTTCCGTGAGTTTGCAGTTGGTCGTACTACTGCCCATCTGTCTGAGGACTGAAGTGGCCAGGTGACAGTGGACCCGAGGAGTGTATACCTATGTAAAGTGCCGCTTGAGATTGCTTGCTGTTCCTCTGACTTTCCTTCTGGGTTAAGACCATGCTGAAAAGCATCTCCGAGAGTGTCCCGGCTGTTAGCGCTGTGCCACAGTCACTCAGTAAAGGTCGATTGAGTGAAATTGACATCTGTGGGGGACTAAATGATTATAATAGTCATTTATGGTTTTTGTGTTTCCCGGGCATTTCTAAATGCTTATTTGCATACATGAACTTGCTCACTTCAATACCCTGTCACATTGTACATGAGAAGTGTGAAGCCTGTGGAGGTTCAGAAATAACAAGGAACAGGCTGCTGATGTGCGCAGTTGGGATGACTCAGAATCATGCTGAATGCAAAGAGTGAGCCAGCGAAGAGGATCACACATGATACAGTTCTTGTAGTTAGCACCCTTAAAGTGGCAGAGCCATAGAAATCTAAAGAGATTAAGGTGGCGTAGGAGAGAAGTGTGGCTAAAAAAAGGCAGTGTAGATCGTAGTGATGAAATGTTTTGTGTCCGGTTATTCATTGTCAGTTTCCTGGTTTTGACATTCTGTATTTTACAACATACTACTTTGAGGGAATTCAGGTTTTCTGGTAATATCTCTTTGTATTATCTGATACAACTTCATATGAGTCCTTGGTTATCATAAAATCAAAAGGACAACAATAGGGAAAAAGAGAGAGAAAAATTTCCCGAGGTCCCAGCTAGGGAAGAGTTGGAGCAAAGCTCAGACTCCCACAGACTGGCCTTAAAGCTTGTGTTCCTGATTGCTGCACCAAAGTTCTTCACATTTATTTGACCCAAGAAACTCTAAAAATGTATTTTTATTAGAACTCAGTATGTACTTTATGTATATAGATCTAAGACAAGCTTGATGAGACAGTCTTAGCCCTGTGTATCCCAGCCAGGTGGGACACATGGAACCTGTTCATGACCTGCTGAGGGCTTGTGTCTTTCATAGCACCCTGTGCTACCCCTCTGGCATGCACTGTGCTGTGTACATCAGTGCTGGCCACGCTCTGGGTATAAAAGAAATTCCGAAATGGCTCTTGGCAGCCCGTAATTGTTGGCATACTTTAAAGGTTGAGCCAGCAGCCCTGTACCCTTCTGTTTCTCTTTAAACATCTCTGGTGGTAAATGCATCTTTTCTCCTCTTACTGCTCTTATCCCTATATTTATGATTCTTCAACTCCAAACATTAATTTACAACTATATGGTGAAAAATATGTTGAAGAGTCTTCCACATATAGTTTACTGTTTCTAAACCAAGCTTATACTGGCTCTTCCACGTCCTCTGTTCGTTGTTCACATTTCCATCTGTAGCACACTGTTTTAGTCTCCAAGTACAGAATCTTTAAGTGGATCTTTTTCCTCTTCCTTTTCCTCTTCCTATTTTCTGGTTCTGGGGATTGAACCTAGAGCCTTTATGCTGAGCTACATCCCTAGTCTTATCCCCCTCACACTTTTTGAAACAGAATGTCACTGAGTTGCCCAGACTGGCCTCAGACCTATATTCCGCCTGCATCAGCCTCCCAGAGTACTGGGAAGACTGGTGTGTGCCACAACGCCTGGCTACATTATTCTTGCCTCTTCCATTTCCTTAACAGGTACTCTTCGACCCTTTTCTCCTCTAAACTTGAATTATTTCAGTTCTGCATGACAACTGTTTTGATCCCCTTCCCAAGAATTCATTTTGCAAATCCTCTCAGATTAATCATCTGAGATAAAACCTGAATCACACCAATCCCTTCCCAGAACCTCAGTGGTTTCTGTTGCCTACAAGTCCAGTCTGTGCATGTCTGCATCTGCCTCCCCTCACTGTGTTTCCCATTTCTCCCCATAAGAACTCTCATTCCGTTC